CTCTTCAAATTATCCAAACATTCTGCAAATGATTTTCCAAAGATTGAAAAATCATCCATAAACACCTCAACTACTGATTCAACAAGGTCAGAAAAGATGGYCATCATGCATCTCTAGAACGTTGCTCGGGCATTACAAAGCCCAAATGGCATTCGCCTAAAAGCGAACGTTCCATAGGGACAAGTAAAAGTCGTTTTCTTCTRATCTTGAGGAGCGATTGTAATCTGATTATAGCCGCTGTAACCATCTAAAAAACAGTAATACTCCTGACCTGCCAACCTATCCAGCATTTGGTTGATGAAGGGGAGAGGAAAGTGGTCTTTCTTTGTGGCTTTGTTCAGCTTGCGGTAATCCATACATATACGCCATCCATACACTATCCTCATGGGTATCAACTCACTCTTTGTGTTTTCCACTACAGTCGTACCTCCTTTCTTGGGCACACACTGCACTGGACTTACCCACTCGCTATCTGAGATCGGATATATGATCCCTGCATCCAACCACTTGATAATTTCTTTCTTTACCACCTYCTTCATAGTCGGATTGAGTCTACGCTGGGGCTCTATAGAGTTCTTGCAACCCTCCTCTAGCACTATCATATGCATGCAGAAACTGGGGCTTATCCTCTTGATATCCGCAATAGTCCATCCAATTGCTCTCTAATGTGTCTTGAGTACATTCAACAGCATCTGCTCTTTTTCTAAAGGTAAGTCCGCTGCTATGATGATTGGCAATGTCTCTGATAAAGCCAAGTAAGCATATTTCAGATGCTRCGGCAATGCTTTAAGCTCCAGCACTGGCGGGTCCTCAATAGATGTCTTAGCTAATCTAAGCTCCAGCACTRGAGGAGCTGGAAACAGAAGTCATGCTGGAACGTCTAGGGATTCATATATTTTCTTCACAAATCCTTTGTTGGTGTTCAAGCATTCTGATTTGACATCTTCTAGCTCCTCTTCAAACGCCTCGACCACACTTTTGGCTCCAACTGCTTCTAGACGTTCCAGCATGACTTCTRTTTCYAGCTCCTCCATTAACGCTTCATCCAAGATCTTTAATACTGAGCACTCTTCAGATTCAGCAGAAAATTTCATGGAGTTATGCACMGAAAATTTCACTTCTTGATCTTGTACATGCATTGTGAGTTCGCCCTTGTTGACATCTACTAAAGCTCTCCCAGTTGCGAGGAATGGTCTTCCAAGAATAATAGGGACCTCCTTAGCTGCATCATAATCCAAAATAATGAAGTCAGCAGGGAAACTAAATTTTTCTACTTGTACCGACACATCTTCAATTTTTCCCTCTGGATGCGTAATGGATCTATCCGCCAGCTGCAATGTCACTGTTGTGGGCCTTGCTTCCCGAATGCCCAACTTGTTGTAAATTGATAATGGCATAATATTGATGCTAGCACCCATATCACATAAGGTAAGCCCTATCTGTTGTCCCCCAATTGAAACTGGTATGGTGAAACTCCCAGGATCTTTCATCTTTGCAGGAATTTTGCTCGTGAGTATAGTGCTACAAGCCTTAGTCATTGCTACTATTTCATACTCTCCCAGCATTCTTTTCTTTGTGAGTATTTCTTTCAAGAACCTCACATAATTTGGCATTTGCTCTAGAGCTTCCACCAATGGTACGTTCACGTGCAGTTGCTTCAAGACATCTAAAAACTTCTTGAATTTAAAATTTTGCTCCTTTTTTCTACAACCATTTAAGATATGGTGGCACTGACCTATATTCTATTGGAGCATTTACATGCTTTGCCTGTTTTCTTTTTCRGGCACTATATTCTATGTAGACCCTGTCTCAGGTGCTCTAACAATTACTGGATTGACTGATTGTTTGGATGTGTTTTGACCGTCCTTTGGTTGTCCAGCTGTTTGTTCTGGTGGAGTGGTCATGAGTACTTCTGCTGGCTTACTATCCTGTTCTGGCTGAGTTTCTCCGTGGTCAACTCGAGTATGTTCCTTGCTCAATGCTGGGGCATTCAGATGTGTCGGAGGTAATGCTTTCCCACTTCGCAAAGTGAGGGCCTTGCATTGTTCCTTACCATCTCTTTTTGGCACTTCTGTGTCGCTGGGTGATGCTCCAATCGATCTGCTCTTCAGATCCATAGCTAACTGGCCTACTTGCAATTCTAGGTTCCTTAATGATGCAACTTGGCTTTGCACAGTGGCATCATTATTAGCCATGTATTGCTTCATCATCTTTTTCCAATGATGCAAATGATCCTTCGGATTGCCTCTGTACTACCACCTATCCTTGATTTGCAAAACTAGGAGGATAACTTACCTTTTGCTGAAATGCTGGAGCATTGGATGTTATCGCATTGTGTCCTCCTTGATTGTCACTCCAATTAAAATTAGGGTGATTCCTCCAGCCATGATTGTACGTGTTCGAATACAGATTGTTTTTATATTCTGCGGCTTCTCCAGATAATAAACTGACTCCGGATTTCTAGGGCATTTGTTGTAATGGTGGTCTCCTTCGCACAAAGAGCAAGAAATTCCTTGAATTTGATTAACGTTAGCCATACCAACTGATGCTCCAGCTGGACTTTGCCGCGTCATACTTCTCATTACCAAGTCCGTCAGATTCTCAATCTTTGAATTCAATGCAGTATATGATTCAGACTCAACCAGCACCTTACTCGATTTTCCTTGAACAGTTTTGGGATCAGACCATGAGTGCACCACAACAAATCTTTGTTTTAATGTCGGACAAAAAAAAACACGAGGGAAATGATGTCGAACAAGAAAAACACGGAGGAAATGATGTCGGACAAGAAAAACACGGAGGAAATGATGTCGGACAAGAAAAACACGGAGGAAACCATGTCGGACAAGGTAAAAAACGCGCCAATTTTAATATATATATATTTTTTAAGTA